AATTCACATCCACAAAGATTCCACGAGGACCTCCGAGTTGATCTGAGGCTATTCCTTTAATACCTGTTCCAGCTGCAATACTATTTGAAGTCATCCCGCAATCATTTAATGATCTTTTCACAACTTGATGATCATAATTCATTGAACAGTAAAGAGTATCATTTATATCGACAAACAAACCAGAACATGATGAATTGACATTCATCACCGTGACAAAGGTACTTGTTTTAGGACTCCATTTCTGTACTCGACTATTCTTGTTACTATTACCATCACCAATATAAATATCACCATTCGATGTCACGAAGAGAGAATTGGGTGATGTAAAATTACCCGAAATGATCTTTGTTGGATTGATACTCTCTTCTTGCCATATTATAACTGTGTTATTTTCTCGATTAGCGACATAGATTGTGTTGTTTGTATTCACAAAAATAGCGCGAGGATCTTGACCAGCAGTCGATACATTAGCAAAAGTAATTCCATTGAAATTCCAAGTGGCTGATGAACAAAACTTTGGTTGATTGAATGAAAGAGCTAAAAACAAGGAAAATAGAAAGAATATTAGAGAAGAACTGTAAACGAAATCAAATAGTTAATTTCTATATTCGTAGAAGAAAAATAAAGTTTCTTCAAAGAAATTTTTCATGAAAAAGTTATTTAGAAACGTTTCTTAACGCTGATTTTTAAGAATTATTTTTGTTAATTTTTATATGAAATATGAATTATGACATTATTAAAATATTTTTGTTTAAAACATTGATGTTGATCATTTTAGATAAAAAAATTTTCTTATTACTTTTTGTTGAAAAATCTTATGGAAGATATGAATAAATTGTATCAAAGAAAATAGTTGAATAAAACAAATTATTTATTTAAGGAAAAATAATCAAGAGAAAAGAAGAAACTTTTATCAATCAAATTTCATTAAGAAATAAAAATAATGTCACTACATTTCATATCAATACTGAATGAAAAACAAAACAAAAATGAGAAAAAATATGGTTTATTATAACCTTCAAAAATTCTTCTTTTCTCTCTATAGACATTCTTCGTTCACATTCTCGCTCGAAGACTTTTTATCTGAAGAAATTTCTATAGTTCATCAAAGATCACACATAATGTCCTCTTGATTCAACCGAAATAAAATAAATCTTTTTTTTAATCTTAATAGTATTTTACAGATTTCAATGTTTTCCCTTTAAAATAAAGAACAAAACAAGAAAATGTTTATTTCCATGTGAAAACAATAAATATTTCTCTTGAAAAGAAAACAATCATTAAATACATATCATTTAGAAAAAGTCCAATAAGTTTAAATATCTGTAAAACTGACAAAACTTTGTTAATCTACTTGTCTAAAATTTCTATTTAAGAATAATCTAAAATAGATTTGATTGAAAATCAATTTTTCTTATCGATCATCTTAAATAAATGAATCCAATAAAAAAATAAATATTTTTATCCAAAAATCAGATCAATAGGTTTATTTATTTTATCAAATAAATAACTTTTTTCTTTTTTTGTAGAGATTATTCTTTGTTTGTAATTATAGAAATAATAACATATATATATCTCATTAACAATTATATACATCACATTTTAGATAATCTTCATCTATTCAATATTACTTTCTGCAATTAAATATTATGATAACTATCGGAAAAATAAATCATTAATCAATCATTCATGAGCAAATTCATTTTTCACAATATTTTATATTGAAGAAAGAGAAACAATGACTAAATTCAATTTTTACATACAAAAGAAGAAAAATTAAATGTCATAATTGTCACATTTTATTTGTCCTGTTTTTTCGAATCAAACATATCGAAATACGGAATACGAAGTCAAATCATTCAATAATTTATATTAAAACTATATCGGCAAAGATATGAAAAGGTTTTATTTCGATAAAAACTGTTTCATTGATACAATATTCTTTGCGATATATGAAATGAAACATCAAAGCCCTATCTACCATTCCATTAAGGACAGAACTTTTTCTTTCTCTATTCTTTAATCTCAAGAAAAAGCTGTTAGCGCAATCCCTTGCGGGATTAAAATGTGAAACACGATCTAACTGTTGTTTCTACCTTCAAGAATATAGTTTAATTGTATCTTTATGAAGCGGATTTTGCCTCCTTCTGTGGCATAAAGGTATAGAAATACAGGAGAGAAATAATTTATATATGCTGTACTCGCTTTATTAGCGTTTTAACGGCTGTGTGAGTGTGAATATCGTAATCTTTGCTCGTTTATGCCTACACCCACACTCTACATAAAGGCCTATAATACCTTGTCGATCAGGGCTGTCACCAGGTCAAAAGAACATGTGTCGGCCACGTCTGTGACGAGGTCAAAAGAACATATGTCGGTCATATCTGTGATGGTCTACTAAGCTCTATCAGTCACGTTTGTGATGGTTTTCCATGATATTTCGGCTACTTGTGCTGCTTATGTCGCTCACGTCAGTGACGCTCTGTCGGTCGCGTCTGTTATACCCTGTCGGTTACGTCAGTGACGGTCTATGATACCATGTTAATGGCCGCCTTTGATGTTCGGTCGGTCACGTCAGTGAGGGGGGGGGAGTGGGTGCAAATTTTTACCTTTTAACACTTCAACACTCCTTTTAGTTCGTGTTTCACAAAAGGCAAAGATTGTTTGGCTTAGATGATTGACACACCACTCTGTCTAATCTGAACATTTCATTTCTATAGACACATTCTTTTACACATTGGTTTAATTAATCTTTCTCAACTATTTTTATTTTCTTTCAGTTTTTATATTGGAATGTCTTCTTTTAACTTCTGTAACTGATCTATTCACATCTCTTCATCTTATTCAACTTTTCTTCAACTTACCAAAAGAATCTTTCATCGGGAAAAATTTTTGAATTCGAGAATTTACTGTGTCAGTAACAAACATGTTTCCAAAACGATCGAAACTCAAACTGAACGGATAATGCAATTGATTCGATTGTGAACCCTCTCCATTACATCCAACTAAACATCGAAAACCATTCAAGCTTGAACCAACAATGCGACTATTGCCAGTATCTAAAATGAATAAATATTTCTCCGCATCTAATATA